GCATAAATGAGCCATGGACAAGTACTGTGCTTACATTTTACTTGGACCTTGGTTTTCTCATTAATACTAAAAGTCACATCTCTGCCATTCTTTATTGCACTCTGCCTCACTACTTTCCTAAACTGAGCCATATCAGGGAAAAACATTCCTATTTCAAATTTAGGGTCACTCATATCTGTCCTCCCATTGAAAACTACATGACCCTTGTGACCTTTACTAGATTCTGACCTAATTGTTCCATTGCTTGACTGACTGTGAGATTTCTCCATCCCTAACCCCCCAAACTCCACATCAACATCAATATTATCATCAAAATATTGATCATCATTCTCTACATCAGATGTTTCACCTTCACTATCTATCAAAACCTCAGATAACTTAGAATCTGTCCCCAAAGATTATTCATCATCAGAATCACTATTCAAAGTATTATCAACTTCATCCCTACCCACAGCAGAAGAGTTTTCATTCATCAAGTATTGATCATTATCACCTAAAAAGTCCAAACCTTCAGAAACTGCAGGAAGTTCGGTTTCATGATCCATATACAAAGCAACTATTCTATCTTTATCCTTCATGAAACACATTTGCATGACATCATTATCATTTTCCAACAAGACTAAGTCATGGCAGTTATTAATCCCACCCCTACTGAAATATACACCTTTAATTGAATTCAACCCTATTTCATCTGTCATGCTCATTACCTCAAGCAGTGACATTTCATCAGGATGGCAAAAATCGACGTGAGAGACTCCACCGTTCAAGTACATCTTGCAGCCTAAATCCACAAATTGGCCGCCATGGTAAACCCTAATAGTGAAATATTCATCATTTTCGCTTGAAAGACAAACAAAAAATGTCGTAAACACTAAAATCCCTAATCCGAGTCCAACACAAGATCATAAATAAACAAAAAAAACAATCGAAACTCACAGAACCTTCAAATTGAAAAAATACAAAAAGGCTTACCATACTCTGGAGCATCCGTAGCATTCTTCTCTCGTAATTTCCAAACCATTGCTTCAAGATTCGAAAAAATACGGTTCCAATTTCAGAATTTTTCTGTTTTCATTCCTTTTGGAGAACAGATCGTACTTTTTAGGGTAAAATTAGGGTTATGAATGATTTCAATTAGGTGTTTTTCTATTTGTAAGTAATTTAATAACTGAAAGGTCATTTTTGCCCTTCTCTTTTGAAGTCCGATGGTCGGAAGTCGCATAGTGAAAGGAATTCCGGAAGTTCGAGTGGGAAAGTGTCGCCGGAAAAAGTTCGGTGGGCAAAGTGCAAATCAGCGAATAGTTCGGTAGGTAAAGTGTAATTTTCCCAATAAAAAATTGAATGCAATTAGGGAAACCCGATACATCATACCTAGCCTACTACTACTTGTAAGTTGTAACTAACTAACTATAGACCCAAATATGGTGGATTCATTCATAGCCCTCTAACTCAACACGTGTCCACTGATTTATTTATTTAATTATGCAACAGTCTGTCTGAATGCCACGCCTCGACACATGGCATAAGTTAGCTGCAGCACGTGGGCTTAAATTGTCAACGCCTTTGTCCTAGCCTCCTAGGGCGGCCAGGGCAAGGACACAAATGATTTAATAATATTAATCACATTTGAATATTTGATTAATTAGCAGCCGACCAATGAGAGGCAGCATTTAGATGTGGATGACGCCAGGCTGACGCGTGGGAACACGTGGAGGTGGGTGATTGGCTGGACGGCTGGCTAGCTGGCTTGTAGGTGAGCTTCAGGTTTAATTTTTGCCTCTTAATTTGCCTTGCAAGGGAATGAATGTGCATACACACACAGCACAAAAATGTGTTGCTCATATCTCCATGGATATGGGTGGGTGTGTCTTACATGGAACAATACGTCTACTCACATAATATCTAATAACTCATCAAGATTTGCAATTGAATTGACTTGTCTCGAATGCTCGAACTGCAAATTGAATTGACTTGCAAAATAGATGTTCAACCCATGTCCAGTCACATACGAGCTGGATCGACTCGCAAAACAAACGTTCAATCCATATCCAATTCACATACTTTGACACATTAATATGTGCAGTTGAACTGAGACTGACCTTGAATGTTCGAATCGCGAATTGGATTGATTTGTAAAATAGACGCCCAGTTCATAGATCGGAGGATTAACTTCTTCGACGTTTACGTCAAACAACGCATCACTAATTGCATCCCTAATTATATTTATTTGTAATAAACAAAAATATCATGTTATAAATAAAAAGGAATACTTTTATTTGCATTACTTTTATATGCAAGTCTCGTAATGCATACAATACAAACAAGACATTTAGGGCGTGATTGGATATGATTCAACTAGTAAAAACCTAGTTTTTTCTTAATTATAGTTAAGTTTGAAAAAAAATGGTATGGTTAGTTTTAGTGGATATATTAAAATAATATTTTAAATAAAATAATTAAAGTTGATTTGATATAAAAGTAGGAGAAAATGATTGGAAGTGATGGTTAGTTAAAATTATGTGAGTGGATGAATAGTGAATTAAAGCTGATGTGATGTGAATAATGATTGGTTGATATTATTTAATTATATTAATAATATTGGAAATAGTGAAGCTGAGTTAAAGTTGAGTTAAATTTGAGTTTTGATTGATTTTTTTAATGTACAATTCATATACAATCGCCCCCCTTAATAAATCAACTATAAGAAAATATACATACATGAAGTTATTAGTGTACTAGTATATTAGTATATATGTAAAGTTGTTATTTGTATAATAACAACTATAGACATTATGTAATATTTATCATTTAACTCCTTGTAACCTAAGTATAAATATTTTCTCCCTGTATAATTGTACTCACTTTTCATTTTCTCTTTTCCCGTCTGAATACAAATCGTCGCCTTTCTCTTCTTGTTCATCTTCAACTCTTCTTCTATGTACAAATCATCATATATGTTGTCATTATTGATCTAATAGAAGTTAAGCACGCCATTTATGATTTACATATGTTAACCAATAGAGTGAGATGAGTAAATATGGTTGGTTCAAGCATATATATAATTAAGTAAAAGACAGAATTATTTAAAAGTTACCTTTGTAATTTACAATATATTTTCTGATATTGTTTTTGATGAAAAAACGTTAAAACTGGTACATCCAATGAAGTAATTGTTGAATAATCATTGTCCGACAATGACATAATATAATGGTTGCATTCACGTCACGACATGTTGATTGATCACCATTCATCACATCTTTTACAAATATCTTTGTTGTCTGTCTACTTTGGATTGACATGGTACAGGCATGGATTGGGCCCTGTGGTTGGCCCGTTTAATTTGTAATAACAATTGTTTTGGTTGGGCCCGTTTAAAGCGTAATGGAAGTTGTTGGCTAGTAGCTATATTGGGCTTAATTATGGTCCAGGACTGCCCACGAAATCCCGTTATAAACCCTAGACCAGATTTGGGGTGCCATTTCGAATTTCAAATTCTCGTTCTCAAGCTCCAGGTAATCAATTTCGAATTAAGTTCGATTTCAACACCAAATGCAGTTTCTCAATCATTTTCGGAATCCATTTTTCTGTTTGTGCTCCCGTTTTCTTCTGTATGTTCTGGGATTTTGGTTGCTTGCTTTCGCCATTGACGAGCGCTGTTGAAGTTTTACGAACCCATGTCTATTATCTGACCGTTGTAAGGAAAATTTTGAATTTTTTTCCCTTCAATGCAGGCTTGCAACTACCCATCTCGGAAAAAAAGCATGGAAAATTTGGCACTGGAAAAGACCTCTAAAGAAATGTCAAAAAGCATGGAAGGTTCTATTGAGACTGATCGCCTTGAAGGTGATTTTTCGTCTCCAACTCCGGTAAAGACAAAAGAACCATCACGTGTTAAGAGCAAGGAAGAGTTGGCGAAATTTCCAGAAAAGTGAGCTAGGGATTTGATGTTTTAATGTGAGTAATGAATATTCCCAAATTTAAGGGGGGGAAATGTGCTTTATGTTTTTTTCAGGTATGAGATGTTATTGGAATTCTTTGAGCGAATGACGAGTTCATTGAGGTTGCTATGTCTCCGTAAACGGATCCCAACTTTTCGGAATGTCCAAACTCAAGTGGAAATTCTGACGGGAAGGTAAAATAGTAGCTCTTGTTTCTGTGTTTTATTTCGTTTATACCTTCGTTCGTATTCTGGTTGCATATTGTTACAAATCACAATAGGTATGTACACAAATGGGAGCAAGGGTTTGCTCCCTCGGTTTTCATATTTATGTGGAAGAAACGCATTTATTCTATTGTTGCTTGCTTCTGGATGGTGTTGGCACCTAGTAGACGATGTGCCTACTTTTTTAAACTGTCTGTTGACCTCTGAACTTCCTGTTTTAAGCATTTTCAAGCAGCATTGTTGACCATATGGATCGATGATCACTTTTCTGAACTTTTTTAATACCAGAATTTTGTGATGCCTGTTGATGTCTTTAATTTGGGATGTCCTTTCATATGAACATGTCTTCGTAACTTCATACCATATGATTTCTTGAGTTGTATGTTTCACTTAAGTTTCTGTTTGTTGCTAAATCGATTGCATGGCATCTTTGCATCAGGAAATTCCTGCTCACACATCTTGCACAAATGAAATTTATACTTCCTGAAGCAGTTGAAATTGAGAAGATTCTCATACATGATGAGAAAACCAAGTGCATGAAGCCAGATATGAAGATCGCATTGCTTTTACATGTTGTAAAAGATCATAATGAAGAATCCTCATATATAGCTCTGGGAAAGGTTTTCTTTTCCAGGCTACGGGAGTTTTACATATCACATCCTGAGGTAGTGTCCCTTTTTTTCAACTGAATCATTTTGGAAATGAGAAGATGCAGTCCATCAATATACATCATTTTTAGTTGTTGTGTATCCTCCTTCGATCATTGTTAGTGAATTTTCCAATATACTGTTCAAGGAAATTATGATTGATCTCTTTCTGTTCAAGGAAGGAGCAGAAGTCAACCATTTACATGTGTTTGGTTCGTTTTATGCCCTCACACCTGAAACCAATAACTACTATTTGCTCTAACACTGTGCTTTTGTTATTTGTCACCAGGGTATTGATGTACCTGAAGCTGCACTACCAGAGCCATTCAACCATAAAACTATCAACATCAAGACAGACTTGTTATCTGAGAACCTGACTTCTTCTTCTGAGGCAACGATATTAAATCTGTCTCATTTTCCGCCTTCTTTCAAAAGGCGGTTTCATACAGAGGCTGCTGCTGTGTCCCTTGAGGCAACTGATATATCTTCACCTTTGACATCTGGTTTTGAGGCTAATAGAGGGATTAATGAAGATAAATCCGGTTGTGAGGCTAATGGAGAGATTGCTGAAGAGGTTGAAACACTAAAATCACTTCCTAATTCTTCATCCTCTGTATCTGTAGAGGAGAGTACTCCTGTAAAGCTCTTACTAGGGAGTGATAGTGTTTCTGTTGAAACCCCTGTACTGTCTACTCCTATGAGATTGATTTCACCAACTCGTGCTGTGCTCACCTGTGAGGATGAGGACAAGATGGCAGGAAGCCAAACAGGGAAGCAGTCCACTTCAAGTGCTAAGAAATCTTTAGATTTTTATGGCATGGACAATGAAGATGCTGGCTTCTCCAACAAGCAAAGCACTGTTTGCCTTTCCGAGTTTGTTTGTTTGGTTCACGAAATATTTCGAGCTGTCAACTTTTGTCCGATCACGAAGGAAGAACTTGTTCAGAAGATTATTATGGACAGTTTCGAGTTTGATAACCGCTGTAAGCTTAGTCGATGTGTCTCATTTGTTTTCAATTCTCATGGGTTATCATCCCTCATTTTTCTTAAACCTGTCGACTGGGCTTTCTAAATATTTTATTTTTTCAATATGATTAGATGAGGTTGAAATGCACATGGAGGGCCTCGAGAAGCTGGTTCCCGATTGGTTTTGTAAGACATTGGCACGTAGTGGTGACCTTTTGTACAGGTAAGTTTCTTTGTTCAGAGTGTTTTCTTTCAGAAGGCAGTTCCCAGTGGATTATCCCTGTATGTTTCTTGTATAGTTAGCTTAGCTAAGATTAGACACTTTCTTTCGCTAATTTGCAGCGTGAAGAAAGTTTCAGATCTGAAGTCCATTCGTGAAAGAGTTAATGTCATGTGATCAGAGGTCAGTTTTTGTTTTTTCGATAATATCCAACTACGTGCATCAATGGCTTCCTTTTATGATAGTTGTTTATATTGCCTCTGATGTCATATATGTACCTTCTTTACAGGGGCATATTCATCCAATCGCAGTCCTATTAGGAGTTGAATAGAAAGGGTCCCGATCTTAGTATCCTGTTTTGTATTAGAAATTGAAGACTTGCATTAGGCAGTCTGGTTTGAGTGTGTAGATGATTGTCCTCTATAACAAAGACTGCTCGTCAGAGCTTATGTTTCCTTTGGGAAAGTTATGAATTGCCAATGCATAATGAACGATGTTGTTTGTAATCTTGGTCCGACTAACCGATTCATTAATGTTGGGAATATGGTGCATAAAATGGCATTGTTTCTGCCTGCTTTCAAACAGTCTCTACTTGTTGGCTATGGCTCTTTTGGAGAGATTCAAGTTCCTCTCTCCTTTTTTATTTTATATATTTTTCTTTTGAAAAGGCAAATTATTATTTAATTAAATTTTAATTATAGCCAAAATAAGACATGAAAATCCTGGGAACACAAGTTATTAACAAGTACAGTGATGCATACGCGATAGGACAGCAAACTGTAAAATGGACACAAATACACTGTCTACAAAACTACAAACTTTAAAATGAGTACAAATACACTGTGCTTAAATGCAACCATACTTGCTAATTGTTCTATTTTAAAGAGGCACCTTCCCCAGTTCCTACACCAATGCCGGCATCGAGTATCCTTCTGAGATAGTCCAACTGCTCAAATTCACCTTGAAGTTCCTCCCACTGCAAACAAACATAACGAAAAAAAAAAAAACGAATGAGAACTCACCACATTTTCAAAATACCGACATGGAAAACACAATTTGTTAATATACACAAGTCGGAACTTCATTTTGTTGCAGGCTGGCATTAGAATTCTAAACAGACAGCAGCAAACTAGAATAGACGAGTTACGCATCCAAATAACAGATGGCAACATATGAGATACTGAAACCTTGAATGAGATCATCTTATTCGCAAGGCCCTTTGTCTACAAAACCATGTCATTAGTGTTTCTTTACGTTGATAATTTGCAAAAATAGACTGCGCAACAGAAAAGTAACAAACGCTTGGTCTCCTGAAAAATGATGAGTACCCTCAATATATACGACAAATTACTGGTACAACAAGAACTTACTTCTTGATGAATCACGGACATGAGCTTCCACCCAGCTGCAGTAATATAACGACGTTTTAGCATAGTATGCCCTAGAGGAACTCCTGCAAAGAAATGAAATTACCAACATGAGTTAAAGTGCGGAGTTAAAGTGCAAACAAAACCACATCATGTTGAATCACATTATCCACATCATAGAACACACCAGAATTTCTTGAAAAATGGGTTGGCCCATCAATCTCCAAAGCAACTTTCTTGTCAATCAAGACCGCATCCAAAGTGTAGCCCTCAACAGTATATTCCTTGACCCAATCAAGCCCAGTACTAACCAGCAAACGGTACACCTCCTTCTGAAATGAAGATGTCACTTTCTGATTAAACTTTTTCGTTTTCCAAGCACTATTAATGCTGGTCTCCAGTTCATCCGTCAATGCTAACAGAAGATGAGGGTGCTCAAGTTTCAAGCACTGGTTCACCAGGTGAAGCTGAGAAGCAAAACTAACATCTCCTCGGTACTGCTCGGACAACTTCTGCTTGTCAAAGCAGCTCAAAGTTTTCCAGACACAAGCGAAAGAGACACGATCCAATTGCCCCAAAACTGCATAAGACCAAGACATATTCCCCAGTTGGTCCCTGGAAAATACGAGTGTACCCGGGTCTGAAAATTCTCCAAGTTCACCATTTTCACAGCTTTCCTCATCTCTCTCATCATCAGGATTTGATTTTTCATTACATTTGAGTTGCTTCACCTCCGTAAATAAATTATCCAGAGAATCCAGTACAGGATCCGCAGTCTCGTGCAGAGAAGCAAAAGCCCACAACAGTTGCGTGATTTCTTGCTCCCGAAAACTCTGAATTATACTCGAGGCCCTCTTTGGTAACTCCTGAAAGAGTTGCGGAGCCGAATGCTGCATTGAAGCAAAAGCTCCCGCCAAATTCGCGACATTCTGAGAATTGAACTCGTCTACTTTCGTCAAAGCCACCTCAGCCACCCTATCCATTTCCGACATATATAGAAGCTCGCCGCCAATCTTGGACAAAGCCCACGCAATATTCGAGATTCCCTGAGCAGAGCACTCGGGCAAACAGGCCATTGCCATCCCCACAAGCATACACATCTCTCTTTGCCGTGCAAAAGCCAGCCTATGTGATTTCACCATCGACACTTTCTCCATGTTTTTAGCTATCCTATGCAAAGCAGTGGCAATGTTCAAAGGCGAAAGAGGCGAGGGGCTGAGCCCTTTTGCCACGGCCATTATCACCTCGCCTGTAACCTCCAAAACTTGTTCGGCAGTTTGAGCCTCGACAATGGACTTGTTCAAGTTAACCTCTTTCCTACGGTCCGAAGGGCCCGAAAACTGCGAAAGCCGTTGGACGAATGTTTCCATGGATTTTTCAGTCCTTTCTTGGAACATCCCTCCAGCCATCATACTCACTGATTTTCTAAGGTGGCTCGTCTTGTCCGAAGAACCCACATCAAATAAATCATCATCCCCAATATCCAAATCTGTAATATGCACAATGTCCTCATCATCGAGTTCATCTTCATCATCCACTACTTTCTCGATTTTGGCTAGCTTTTTCTTCTTCTTTTTCTTCTTCTTCTTCTTCTTCTTGTCACCACCAGTAACCATCCTCTCCAATCTCGAGGACAATCCTCTGTCCTTGATAGACTTCAGAGCGACCTTCCTAGCTCTTACGCACCAATCCATTTTATCGGTTTCTGCCAGTAGACTAGATTTAGGCATTTTTTTCTTTTTCGCAGAGGGCAAAGACCCATTTGGGTCTACCTCACCAAGAAACACCGCCTCCCAACTTGGATTAGGAGCGCTCGAGCCCTTTTCCTTTTCTGAAACATCCTCAGCCATGTCATCATCATCATCATCATCGCTGTCGTAATCCCCAGTTTCAACCGGTACGAGGTCCTTGTCACCGGTGTTAACACTTTTCACAGATTTTATCCAACACTGTTTTTGCAAAAGGGAGCTTAGGTTGACTCTTGGGATGAAAATGGGATGGACAGTTTTGAAGGCGGCTAATTTTGAAAATGGGGTGTGGAGAGTGGAGACTCTGCTCATAAATCCTGAAGCTTCCATGGATATTCTGTGATTTTTCGCACAGCACTAATCGAAGGATAAGTAAAATGAGATTTGAATCACCAGCGAGGGCTGACTCTTGAGCTCCATTACATCTTCCGCAGAAGCTCTCAAGTTCTGAACAAAGAGGATAAGAGAGTTAATTAGATAATTTGTGTTTGTATTTACCTAAAACTACACCCTAGAAATAATTTTGATTTTCTTGGTAGGATAATAATTTTGATTTTCTTGGTAGGATATAGATTAAAAAAAAAAAAAATGTTTCAATGGAAATATGGAGTTATAAAATTGGGGAAATTTTATGGTGGAGGAATTAAATATTTCTGTGTTTATCAATGAATATAACATAAAACTTAATAAATAAAATTAATCTTATAGAAAAATAATAAAATATTAAATGTAATATAATTGTAATTAAAATTACGTGTTTGAAAAAAATAATAATTACTGAGTTATATTTTAAGTTCGTATTTAAATAATATTTAAAATATAATAATTAAAATTGATGGAATGTAAAAAGTATGTGAGAAGTTATTGAAATGACGAGACAAAAATTCCATAATTCCATTAATTTCATGTAATTCTCTAACTCTTTTCCAATTATGAATTTCAATTTAGTTTTAATTAATTCAATATTTTTCAAGTTTCTTGTTTTGGAAGAAGAAACAGCTTGAAAAAGAAAGAGAAAATTTTATTCCAATATAAATTTATAGTGATAGGTAAACTAAATTCATAAAAGGAATTTGAGTTGCACACCATCAGTCATTTAACACTAATGGCAGCTGACAAACTAGAGTTGCTACAAACTCCCAAACAGACTTGAGAAAGATGATTTTAGTGTAAGTATACATACACAAGCTAAAAAGCATGAAAACTACATCTTCCTCTAAAATGGAGCACATAAAAATGAAATTTGATCCTTTAAGAAAGAAAATTCCCAGCCACAGCACCACATCCATTCAAAGAGGAAGCATTGTTAGGATAGTTACGATTCATCGTGAGCCGTAAGTTGTCTATTCCATCTCGTCTCAAGGAAAAAGGGTCTATTCCTGCATTATGAGCTGCCACAACTCCTATTGCCTCCCAATAATTAGCTACCTTCACCTGAACCAAAAGGCATGGAGAAAACCAGGTGCAACTTCAACACTTGGATCATCAAAACGTTCGAGAAAAAGCAAAAAAGGTTAGCTTGTTACCGCTTGGATCCCGAGTTTATCAGGGGTGTCACTCAGAACTGTTTCATTCTCTTCGACTGCAATTATAAGTGGCTAAAAAAAACGGGTTTTAAAGATGCATTTTTATTTATGTGCATTAAGAACTTGGGAGAATAAAAGTTCTAAAACTAATCGTTGGGGGTTTTGCAGAAAATACCCTGTTACTTTTCCTGCTGGCAAATGCAAGAGCTCCATCACCTCCACAAGCATCGATTGGCAGAATAACACTGTCAACATCACTAGCTACTATACTGTCCTTTCCTAGCAATTTGGGGTTCTCGACTAAGTACTGTGGGGCAGTGCTCAGGCCAGCAAGAACACATGGCAAGAATGTGTACCCGATCTGCATGAGAAGGAACATTCCTTTAGATCTTACACTCGGAGGAGAATATTGAAATGAAGTTTAATGCTTAAACCAACCGAAACTTCTTGTTACGCCTTTTCAATCTCCCAATATTTCCTTGGGGTTTCTCAAATTAATTTCAGGATCAGGCATTCTTGTTCGTCTTGGATTGTTTAATGTAAAAAGCGAGTTTCTTGTTGTCCGAGAAGAAAAACAGAAAAGAAAAAAATGCACTAAGCCAAAAAATAGATTAGCACGTTGAATAGAGTAGCACTCAACGTTCAATGATCCAGGTTGAAGGACATTACACAGAAACTAATCCAAAGCTGTAGTTTCTTGTAGTTAGACCAAAAATCTCAGGGCCTTTTTTTAACCATTATCCCCTCCCCCGAATAAATTACTTTCATATTGAAAATGAAGAATGACAACGGACCTCTTCTGCAGCTGATTTTGGGGATAAAGAAGAATTTAATGGAAAAGGTAATAGTGCAGGAGCATGGGCACAAGGTATCCCGAATTTCTCCACCACCAGATGGCTTATCACCGCCTCTACACCTGCCAGAAGATCAATTCCCTGCAGTCATGAGAGAGCCTTAATGAAGAACAATAAGCAAAATTCAGAATTATGAATCCAAACAAGAAAAGAAGATATAAGCCAGCTAAAACAAATCATACTTTGCCTTGTCTGTAATTTTCCACATCTTCTTCAGTACCATCATCATCAGGAAAGCGTGCCACAACTGCTACGGCATTTACACCGGCTCTTTCTACTAATTTCTCCACGGCCCTTAACAGGGAATCCGGACGTTTTATCCTCCCGGTTGATTGTCCACTTTCTAGTTCAATCCACTTCTCCACCTAAAATTACACAAGACATACAAAGTCGAGCATCACCACATTTACATCATACAACTTATCAGCAATAATTTTTTTGCATACCTGTAAAGCAGCATCTGTCACAATATACTCCACAACAGGCAAACCGAGAGAAGCCCTTGTTGCATCCACCACCTGCAAGTGACGAAGTCGAAGGTCTTCTTCTATTCCAGCATCAAGAACCACCCCCACCTAACCTCACATTGCATGCATTCATGTCCAAACAGATTAAAGAAATAACATGGAGAGCAATATAAATGTGATAAAATGATGCGTGACTCGTGAGGGTCGGCCACACCTTATTCTGATGAACCGGTTGTAGTGCCCAATGACCTTCAGCAAATCTATCAAGTGCATAGCCCTCGACATACAGCACATTTGGCATTGGCCAGTAAAGCATTGCTGCATTAAGAACCTGAAAAAATTACAAAACCTAAAAAGAACCGAAACTGTACACACTTCATCCTCATGGAACAAGTGACACCATAAGTCATCCTTTATAATCCTTAATGACACAATGGAAAGCAGTCTAAGTTAACTTCTTAATAGTCCATGCACGCTCACTAGGAAATTGGAAAGCTGTAGCAAGTAGCAACACATTGGCTCATGACTCCACAAATGATATTGAGTAATCCAATTTCCCTAATATTTTTTTATATTTATTTATTCGTAATTATGATTTCAAACCCGTGCAGTAACTCTTGGGACAGCATTACACTCACATATTTATTGATGCAACTGAAGCAAGTTTTTTTCTTTCTTGTTGCTCAATCATCAAACATGTTACCTGCACGTACTCTAGTCCCAGTTGACAATTAACAATAAATTCTCAACCTTAGTACAAGAAACTACCCAACTTACGAACCAAGTCTTACAGCAAAACTGCATATGACATTTTCAAAGCAGAAGCTATTGAAGTTCTGCAGAGGCAAAACCCAGTAAGGAAGAAGCAAGTTTGGACTTGCAAAGGCTTATTTTTGGCTTACACCATAAATAAAATGCATAAATTACGAAGAAAACGTACATTAGGATGAGAGATGAGGCAGTCGACGACGGAGGAGAGGGCTCGAGCCACCGGCAAAGCATCCCCGGCGTAGCCGCCAATTGCCGCTCCCACTCCAGTTGGCACTATCATCACGCTCGTGTACGCCCTCTTAAACTGCTCAAAAAGCCCAAAATAAAAGAAAAAATAAACAAAAAAACTTCTTACAAGATCAAACTACTTTACATACAGTCTGAGTGAAGACTCGAGGTCTGTGAGCTATATAAACTCACTACTGACTAACCTTATTCGTGAGAGACCTAGAACATGAAACTGTTTGACGAGCGGCTGGTTTCAACGACCGGCGCCATAGACTCCGGCCGGCGACGGAGTGAAATGGAAGGCCAAGATTAAGGCTTGCCATTGCCGGCCGCTGCTTTCCCCTACACTACTATACTCGTTCTTCAATCTTCATCTGTATAAGAAATGCTAGGATAAACCCATCAATATTTTTCCATGACGATTTTGCCCCCCACAAAAGAGCACTACCACTGTTTTTAATAGCTCGTATAGCTTGCTATATTTTTTATTTTTTATTTTGAAGAAAATGGGACGTAGCTTTATTTGTAGGGTGTAGCCAGAAATTTTGTTAGTCCGGGACGGCATGTTATTGTAGTTATTATTGGAGCCTTGTAGATATAGTCATGGGTCGACCTACTTGTCGGTTCGGCCCAAAACAACACAAACCAGCCCGTGGTGTTGAACACTTCGGTTCATGTACAATACTTTTATAATTTATACATTTTGAACATGCGATTTTGGTTTTTGAACTGGAACCGGAATCCGAGGTATTATTATTTTAATTTTTTTTAATGAACTGGACGACCAATAACTAACAGTTCAATGAACCGGTCCGTACATATGTTCGCGCCGGTTCAGGATCCTCCAACTCTCTGCCCGGTATCGACGGTTTCGACCTGTAACCGGTTGTGGGTTATGATTAGAAACAAATTATGTGTAAACATATGCTGGTTTGAATTGAGAAAACTCAATCTCGAATCACTTATATATTTAAACAAGCCAAACTCAAATAGTTAATCGAACTTGTCGATCGAACAAATAGAGTCGAACATATTTGTAATCAACTCTGTACGAGTTTTCTCTTTATCTAAGAAATGATGTGCAATTAATTATTGGAGGCGAAATCAACAAATAAATAAATAAATGAAAATGGATAACAGACTGGGAAATGAGACGAACCCAATTAAATTTCCCATTGGAGAAGTCTGTGTCAAGCTTAATTATCCAGCTCATTTGATATTTATCAAGTCAACTAAAAATTTAGAAGGCAAGAGTGCATTGGGCTATATTATAAACTCAACTGATAAAATTTAATAAGGTCACAATTGTCATTTGACAATAAAAGGTTATCTTTTTTCCTCACTACAATCATCATTTTTTCACCATTGTTGTTAGATAAAATATTTTAACCTGAAAATATTCTTGAAGTATTCAGCGCTAAATTAAATGGGCTATATAAAAAATTACACGAGGCTAATGAGTCTATGTATAAATTTTTTTAAAAAATAAAGTTAGGAAAAATAAGGGTAGCAAAAAATTACATGGGGCTGGAGTCCACCCCAGCCTTATCCGCCTCTGTTTATTTGTGTAGCGTATTTTTAGAGAAGTTTACGTGAAATGCTGAAATAATATGTTTTTTACGATATTTTGCACAATTTCACGCTATTTTGCGCGTTATATTTATCAACAATATTTAAACAATAAAATATTTAAAAACTTGTATTTTTTGGATTAGAATTTTATGTTAAAATGACTAAAAAATTAAAAATTTTGATAATGATTTCAAACTAAAAATTTGAAAATACAAAGTCGTAAGTTGAATAGTGCAATATATGTCAATCCAGGTCCATTACATCAGTTAATTTTAGGTATTTGACATATAAATTTAAGAATAAAAAGTTCAGATTTTGTGGTTAGAATTAAATTATAATAAAATAAAAAAAATTAATTACATATGCTTAAATTTAAATTATTACTTATCTTATTGTATTTTCGTTGTTTTTTTTTTTTGTACTTTTTA